GAAAATACTGTTTTCTACCTAACTCCGCCAAAATAAGTTGAAACTTAACGATATTTTCACATATGGTAGAGTTTAGTGATAGCTTTCTTTTGACGAAAGGATGAAGTCTCTATCTGTCAGGGAAGCCGAGATATTGCAAAATAAAAAAGGTCTTAAATTTTTGAACAGCACTGTATATATAAAAATTAAACCGGTCCTGAAAGAGTTAAAAGAGCATTATCTGTAATGAAAATGATATAAGCATTTTCTCGCTAGTATAAATCTAGTATCTCGCATTTTTATCGAACAAAGAATTTAATATAATATTCTTATCTATTGTGAATAAAACAGTTATCATATATTAAAAAGAAGAGGTTATTTTCAAGCTCACATACAAACAAAAAAATAATCATAATTATTTGATTTATAAACAATAGAGAAAACAGAAACGCTGATGTACACACCAGAAACAGTTATACAATAGAAACATGAACAGAGTAAAAATAAAATGAGAAACGTTATTTATTCCATTGTAATGTAAACCGGACATTTGTAGGGACCAAATAGATATTTGTACGCATTTAAACGTAACCATTTATGCTCAATACAAGCAGTTAATGACATACGCATATTAGGATCCTTTTGTAATAACTAAAGTACATTGTAAAAAAAAAATGATTATCAAGTAATACACACTTTAGGTCTTGGAAAAAACTTTACGCAGTTGATAAGAAATCAGATATATTACAAGAAAATAGGTCTCCTAGTATGCAAAATTGCGCTCAATTTCAATTCTACTACCAGCACTCCAAGCAAAAATATGAAAAGCGACAAGCTGTTAACGAAAAGTGTCACTTACATTATTAATAAAATGTTCGGCATGTGTTGTTACATAATCTTTTGGACATTTGTAATCGACGGTAGATATTTTCTTCTTTGTTTCTTCGTCTGAACCTTCAAATGGTGCACGACCACATAATAATTCATACGTTAAAACACCTACACACCAATTATCAATATTATATTGATATTTATTATGAGAAACTATTTCTGGCGCCAAATAATCTAATGTGCCACATGCTGTACTATTCCTAAGAGTAGAAAGACAAAGGAAAACTAAAATTACTTATATTTTTCACTTAAATTCAATGAATAATAATGTTTCACTCACAGTTCTTGTGCTCGAATTTTTGCTGACCAACCAAAATCGGCTAATTTTAAATTTCCACAACAATCCAAAAGAATATTTTCCGGTTTCAAATCACGATGTATCACCCCTTTACTATGACAATAGGCAAGTGCATGACAAACTTGATAAATGTACTAAAAAGAACATATACTATAGAACATATACTAATAGTTAGCTTATTTACCGTAGCAGCTAAACGATCTGAAAATCGTCCTAATTTTTGCAAAAATCTGTACAATTGACCGTTGGGAGCATATTCCAAAACGAAATAAAAACGTTTGTCGTCATGAAATACATCATACATTGTCAGAATGAGTGGATGACTGGAATTGAAATAGAAATTTATTACCACAGTGAACAAATTAGAATATATGAAAAAATAAAAATATCGAAACCTTCAAATCTACCATTTATGTTGACAATGTTGTTATAAGAATGCTTTCCTTATATTATCGTCTACCGAGTACATAGTGTCGTTTTTTTTACAATACTTACTGTAATTTATAACCAGACTCTGTTTCAACTTTCACTTGTTCAGCCATTGAATATTCGTTCACTTTACTTTTATGAAGCATCTAAACAAATGAGACAAAACAAAAGAAGTCCAACAGATTGTTGTACCATCTTACTTTGAGTGCACATATGAAATGTGTCTTTTTTAAACGAGCTAAATAAACCGTCCCGAAAGCACCCTTTCCTAATGGAAAACCAAACTGAAAATCATCGACGGTGAATAGACGATCTTCCCTAAACAGAAAATAGCAAATTAAAGTATTCGCTCGTTTCCAGTGATAAAAGACATACTACTCTTGTATTCTGCAAGCGAAGTAGGGAGAATTAAACAAAAAATATTGATACTTACTTTAAACCCATTCTTCTCAAACCAATTTGCATTGTTTGTTCTAAATGTGTACGATTGATATATTTTTGAAATTCTTTAATCGACATTGGGCGTTCTTCTAATTCGGCTTGTGTCAACGAATTCAAAAACTTTGGTAAATATTCATACAATGATCGACCTTCACACTTTTCGACATTGAATTTAACACGAACTGTTTCTAATTCATCGTAGTTTTCGTTCTAAAACCAGTGTGAAGAAAAAAACAGCCAAGCTCTTGATTAATTATTGAGCAGAAAATTTACCTCTTTTTCATCATCGCTACCGTCGTCCAGTGCTACTTCTTCTCTTTCTGCCATATTGTGAGTTGTACTTGTCTTATAAACTGAACGAAATGTTTTTCTCGAATGTGCAATTCGAGCAGGAATTTTTGAAAAACTGTTTTATCACTTGTTTTAGTTGGCGTTAAGCGTTAGAATCTAATGAACAGCAATTCTAATGGCAGAACTCATGTAAACAAAGTGCGAATATCTATTTTTAAAAAATACACTCTGGCTCAAAGAGCAATGGTCACTGTATGTACTCTGAAATTTAAATTTACATTCTGTTTTTCAGTTCAAATACCCCATATTTTTCAAGAATGCAGAAGACTCATTTTTCTTCTTGGAAATTGTATCTACACTCTTGTGATAGATACTTCTTGTTTTACAAGATTTGGGAATTTCTTTTTGTAGAAATCTGAGATTATGACTACGACTATACGAAAAAGAATTCTTTCAAAACTCGAGTTTTTACTGTATAGAACTTTTGTTATTTGAAGAGCTCGGTATTCTTTAAGTTCTATATCTCTTTTTTTTTAGAACATGTACACTTTGTCACAAAAAACAAGTGTGCGGACATAATATGGCTGAAAAAAGAGGGCGCCCATATAATATGCAGAAAACACTCAGTAGAAACAGTGTTCAGTTACAATACGACTAAAAGTTAGCCCTAGGACGGTACAATTTACGCCTGATTTATTACAGCAAAATAATAATATAGCCTGATCGATCGTTGACATGAATTTCCAATGACTCATTTTTTCCCGCTAAAACAAAGTACATCGAGATGACCAATTATATATGATCTTTTAACCTGAATGTTTTCTCGAGCAGAATGAAAATTTGCTCTATGGTTTTCAGTAATTCTCGATATGATCCTACTAATCTTCGTTAAAACACCGAAGGATGTGGTAGATGGCGCAAATAGCAAAAACTGGCGGACACCCATTAACTTTTCCAACCGCTGTCTAATGATAATGATCAAATCTTTTCTCGATCGATCGCATCTTTCCATTGTACTTCTTGGATGAGGACTTTCATTTTCTTTCAGTACGCGCCAAAAGATAAACCAACGCGCCGCTCAGAATCCTACCCTGACGAAATAATATATTTCTCTCGAGCAACATGCCGCACTTTTAGCATGCAGAATCCTATGGGTCGATACGATATCATATTACGCTTTTGTCGTGTTGTTTTACATTATATGTAGACCAGCGTTTCTAATATAACACCCATTGAAAAATTTTCTACGATA